CAGGTTGAACGATAAAAGATGGACTCAGATTTAAATATAGATTTCGGATTATAGATTGTCTCAGTTTAATAAACAAGGGTGGGTGTCGAAATAACCCATGGTTGTATAAAGGATCGCCCAAAAGAAGCATGAGGAAGATTAATATTTCTGATTTAAGGATATGTGTTTGACAGTCATGTGTGAGCTAACAATTGATTCTCTGCACGGCAAAGTTGAGCACGAAAATAATGACTGGCAGATAAGCCATGGTGAGATTTGTTTAGGTACATTAGAAGAATATGAACCTATTGTTATCTTTAACATTGTATAACGCGTTAAGCTTAAGAACAGTGCACCTTCTGTTTCCATCGGATTATTGTTAAAGAATGCTTGTTAAAAGAGCTTATTGACTGCACATCTTTGTATTTGACAATATATCAGCATTAGAAATAGCCTGTTGGAGATGTCGAGGCTTGAGAAACACGGCACAATTAGTTCGTTCAATTTCTTATCACAACGACATTCTTTCTGTTATCAAGCTTTCTTCTTACATAATAATAACCCAAGCTTATTTGAATTTACAGTGCGACTAATAAACATTATCACAAGCATGAATTGGTACAGTTTCTATTAAAGAAAAAGTTAATCACAGAGAAATATCTATGCTAAAGCTTGAACCTCAACCATTGGCTTTACAAGAATTGCAGATACAATAACAACAGTGATATAAAGTCATTTGATAATCTAGTTTTTTTTTTTGTAGAGACAATAGTAATAATTAAAGAACACTCGCAGCGTTGTTTACAAAGATTGAATCGTCTGTACTCAGGTCTGCAAAGTCTATTGGTAGTAGAATTGCTGACGATTTATTGTATCGTGAGTATAAGAAAAAGCGAGCAAGCACTTGTAGCAGTTACTAAATTAATGTTTACCATCATATCATCATAATACTCTCCCTTTAACATGCGTTATTCTCTAAACCTTGACAAATTTCAAGCCATTCTTCTTCTCTAACCATTGGAATAGTTATGAAGATATCTTTTTCTCTCTCTCTTTCTTTGCATCATTGAGTAAACTTAAACAAGGACTTGTTGAATTATTTGATTTGACAAGTAAAAGTAGCAAGTATTAACTTAGACTAGAAGATAATCTTTTATTAAAAATAGATCTTAAGCAGGGCTTTTCTTATTCTTCCCCGCGGTACATTCACTGGATACTTTCTCATGCGTGTATTTATCTTTTTGTTGACAATTGTCTGTCATGGATACGAATGATATAAAGCCTAATTATGACAATGTTATTTCTTGTTTGTTTACTTATTAAATGACAGCAGTGATACATCATTTACAATTTATTGAATTGTTTGATTTGTTAAAGTATAGAAGATATTTCTTTTTCTACTTCTTCATGTCAATTAACTTGGATCAAGCGGATATTCACCATTATATCTCTAGAATTGCGCTAGCCAGAGCAATCAAAAGCATGGATGAAGGAGAAGAAGGGTTATGGAAAGCTAGTGTTATATTTAATCAACCTTTTGTGAAGAAATTATTAGCTTACCACCAAGCATCCATAAGGAAAAGTACAGGAAGCAAACCAAAAGATACAACATATATAAAAAAACAGTAAGAATAAATACATTTGTTCTCTCAGTCATAGGAATATTAATCTGTTTTGCTTCTTTCTATTAGATAAAGTATCTTTTCCTTCAAAAAGGCTCGATATTCGCCATCATTCTGTTGAGCTTAACCCCAAGGTCACGGTGGGAGAAGAGCACAGACAGGGTAGTTTAAAAAATAACAGTAATCCTTTGTATTCACCAGTTACTTACCATGGCCACTATTGTGATACACAGACATTACATCACAATAGATATCATTCTGCCAATCCAAGTTTAATGATCCATCACAAATTCCATTATCTTTATTATCAACATCAGCCCTTTCAGTAACAAATATCTAGTTTTCAGGATCATTTAATTTTCCATAAATAAAAGCAGGAGGAGGGAAAAATGAATTATGGGATCAATATGAGTGAATGCTCAGTTTATATTGCCATATTATCGCTTGCTTTGGTCTTTTTTATACTAAAATGCATGGCAATAGAAAGTAACATCTGATAAAGTTCATACATAAAGAAAGTAAAGGTGACTTTTCAAGAATTCTTTCATCACATTCAATTTTGTTCCACGACATTATTACCGCTTGTATTTCAAAACCCAGCTGATCCCATTTTCTTTTTCCTCCCTATATTTTATCCACAATGTCAGTTGATGAAAAGGACAAAATAAAACAACCAAAAGGAAAACCGTCGCGATGGCATACAAAAGGTTCTTTATTCTTTGGTTTTTCTCTTTATTGAACTAACCATTTGCATAATAGAATTTTACTTTTACTATGTATGTTTTTGCATTGTCGTTCCTTACATGTTTAAAGTCACATTTAACCTGAGTCAAAGTATGCTGTTTATGAAGACAATAAAGACAATACTGACACTAGTTTCATCCTACACGTAGATAATCACCCAAATTATCCATTATATGCACCATTATTATCAGAAGGATGGATACTAGGTCGTCAAGTAGACAATAGTGACGCACAGTATGCTCAGTTTAGAGACAATATACCCAAATTGATACCGCTTGTCATTGTTCATCTCTTATTCAGTCATCTGAACCGCCGACTTCTTCACTTTTCATCTATTCGATTTACTTTATTGCTGTCACTTGTATGTGTTATACTCTTACACGGTGCCAATGTGATCAAGATGATCAGCATCATCTCGACAAGTTTTCTTATTGGGCGATTCTGTAAAGGAACAGCATGGAACCCCTTCTTGACTTGGACCTTCAACTTGGGCATTCTATTTCTCAATGAATATTATGACGGATACAGATTCAAGGCAATCCTTGGACCATCCTATGAATGGCTAGATCAATTCGAAGGAGTCCAGGCTAGATGGCATATCCTATTCAAGTTTGCCATGCTACGATTGATTTCATTCAACATGGATTATTATTGGGCCTGTCGCAGTGTAGAAAACAAGGAGAACGTTGATCGCGGAGAGGCAATAACAGATAAAGAGCGCATTCAGTTACCATGGAATGTCGACACGGATTATAGCTACTTCAACCTTTTATCCTATGTTCTATATACACCTTTACTCCTATGTGGGCCCATCATCACATACAACGATTTTTTGTCTCAGGTAAATGCAACAAGTTTCTAATAGAGAGCAAAAAAAAAAAAAAAAAAATAACATAATAATAGTTTAAGGTCCCCTCTAAAAATATCGACAAACGTTATATACTTTTGTATGCAATTCGATTGGTCATTGTCATCTTTGTGATGGAACTCACACTTCACTTTTTATATGTCGTTGCTATCAGTAAAGCCAAGGCATGGAACGGCGATTCTCCTTTAGAATTGAGCATGATTGGTTATTTCAATCTAGTCATCATTTGGATGAAGCTACTCATTCCCTGGCGCTTCTTTCGTCTTTGGTCATTAGCGGATGGTATCTGGGTTGAAGAGAACATGGTACGATGCATGAGCAATAATTTTTCTGCACAGAGGTTTTGGAAAAGCTGGCACCGCACATATAATCGCTGGACGATTAGATATATTTATATTCCCTTGGGTGGTTCAAAGTACATTGCCTACAACATGTGGCTCGTATTTACCTTTGTTGCTCTCTGGCACGATATTGAACTCAAACTCTTGGCCTGGGGTTGGCTCATTAGTCTGTTCTTGTTGCCTGAAATTATTGCGTCCAAGCTGTTTAGTGAAAAAAAGGTAAAGGAAATCAAACGTTTACATGCATCTCACACTTTGTAGTATGGAGACAAGCCTTATTATCGCTTTGTCTGTGGACTGGGTGCTGTAGGAAATATTTTGATGATGATGATTGCTAACCTTGTCGGATTCTGTGTTGGTCTTGATGGTGTGACAGAAATGCTGACCAAGATCTTTGGTACTGCCCATGGTCTCTCATTTCTTCTTGTGGTCTCTGCTTGCTTATTTATCGCGGTCCAAATCATGTTTGAAATACGTGAATCTGAAAAAAGAAGAGGTGATCCCAAGTGGAAAATGTAATAAAGTGCGCCTTTTTTTCTTTCTTTCCATTGATGCAAGAAAATATACAAAAAGTCCCATTTTTATTATTTATGAATTATACTACTGATTCTGTTCCAATATACTTTCCAACAGTAATCATGTTCAAAAACTTGAATCCAGCAGCATCGCCCTTTAATCGGACGATACCATCTTGAGCATCAACACCGATTAGATTGCCTAGTTCGCCTCTATGCTCGCCTAGGATGATTCTTACATTCTCCTTCTTATTTGGTCTCATTGGCTCTATGCTATCAAAGGGTGTATCGATTTTTTCATTATTACTGTACAGGTTGACTACGCATCGTTTGCTGCTCATGTCTACAGACACTATGCCGCCCAATTGTCCCTTGGTAGCTGAGCCTTGATCTTTTGTAAACTTGACCTCAATGTCCTCTATCGGCCAGTCTTTCTCATTATCCACTAAAAGTATATATTAGTATTGATTATCTTTTTT